GGCGTCAGCGGTTAGCTCAGAGGGGCGCTCCGTCCCTTCTCGGGCGGCCGAGGGGTGAGGGGCACAGAGGTGGAGAGAAGAAGGGGGGGAGCTTCACATCTATGGTATCTAGTATTAGTTGCACTACTCCACTACTGCTACCCAGCTGCTAACTTACACGGTGCACGGTTAAGTACAAAGGGAACTACTGGAGTTAGCAAAGGCTCCGACCGAGCACGCTCTAACTCCAATGTCTGCCCTGGGCTGTCCCAGGCAAGAAGCTTCTCTTCACAAGACTGTGTAGCTGCAAAACAAATGTAAGCATTAAAATAACAAACAAACAAAAACCAGAAAGCAAAATAAAAACCAACAAAGAAGTACAAACACACACAGCCCCAAGCCTGGTCGGCACACAGAGACATCCACATCCCAGCAACCTCTGCCTGCTCTCCTGCCTCTGTCACGCATCAGCTGGGCCGGACACTGCTCAGAGGGGACCACACTGGCACCAGTGCAGAAGACCCCTCAGAGCATAGCATGAATCGCACTAATGCTCCTGGAGGTAGTTTGAGGGTGACCTAAAACACTGGTCGGAGTAGTGACAGAGCAGCACGAGGGCAAGTACGAGATGCAAGCGAAAGGGAAAGGAAGTAGGGCATCCAAATCACTGCAAATCTCAACTCGGAGGGGAGTGGGGTGGGAGAATGCTGTCCCACCTGGCAGAGAAGTGATTTGGCACTCCTAAGCATACCAAGCAGGGCCTTGCTATGAGCAAGAGGAAGGAGTTAATAAGAAAGCAGTGAGGGGACAGTTCACAGCAAAAAGGACTTCAGGAGAGATCATTTCCCTTCCGTTCTGGCTGGGCAAAACACCTTTCCCATTGCACCTCACGAACCAGCAGTTTGACATCCTTAGACCTAATTCAAAAATAAGTAACAGAGAGGCTCCAACTGCTGCATCGTATGAGATACTGGTGCTGTGTGCAGGAAAACAGGGAAGGAAGACAGGAGGAGACAGAAGAGGACATGCCTGTTCCTTCCTTCCCAGACTGACCTGGACAGAATCAAATACCCCAGATGTTCCCATCTCGCATCCTCAGATCCTTCCATTATAGCTTTAAATAGTCAGGCAGCTAGTACGGTATGCCTGTGTAGGGGGAAAGGCTGGGAATTCCACCTAGATTTTCTCCAACCTACTACCTTTTTCCATATTAATTTTCAGAGTTTTTCAGCCACAGGCTCCTCTGCAGAGGCAGCCAATTCAGGAGAGATCAGGCAGACGGTACCAGACTAATCACGGTACCAGCTAACTGAGCTAGTGAGACAGACATGCAAGGTAAAGCTCACAACAGAGAAATGCCCCTCAGAGCCAACATTATCCAAGGATTTTCACTCAGAGCACCTGACAATGGATTCAGAAACACTGTGGGATCTTCCAGCAGCCACAGCCTCCCTTCCAAAGCATCCTTGAAGCAATCTGTAAAAACTGGTTTTCGTTCCTTTCGTACTTCCCGAGCACCATCCGTGTCTGGGGTGCTCAGAAGTTCTTGACAAGAGAGACTGAATTCAGCCTCGCACATCCCCTCCATAAGCAGACCTGCACCACTGACCCCATTTCCCACAAGGAAAACTAAGAGATGCAGTGACTTGCCCGAGGAAACCCCAAAAGACAGTGTCTCTGCAGAGAACTCCACATCTCTCCCAGATGAAAGCAAGGGAATGAAATTAGCTAGGATGAGGTTCTGGGGTTTTTTTTTTTCCAAAAAGGGAAGGAAAGGTTTGGAAATTTTCAGTGTGCAAAGAAGGGTATTTTGCAGGAAGGGAAATGATTTCTTTTTATTCTGGAGTACTGGAAATGAAAAATCAACATTCTGGAAGGAAGTTGAGGAAAGGAAAAATCTTGGGGAAGGAGAAATGGGAAAGGAGGAGGGAGGGGTGGGAAAAAGATGCCATAAAGCACTGCACCCCTGGACTTACTGGCTGAGAAACAGAGAGAAAGCTGGGACTGCATGGACTCAGTCTGTGTTTTGCTCTCACTGTGCCTCCGTCCTTCAAGCACTGAGCTGCCATCCCCGGTGGAGAGAGGGGGAGCTAGCATGGCAGGGAATTAAAACACAAACACAAACAAAACACGCAAGTTCAGTAAATAAAAAAAGAGAAAGGAAATAGGAGAACATTAAAGAAACCACAATGCTGGGCACAAAACATGCAGGAGTATCCTCCAGGGCAAAGCCAAGTAGACAGCTCTACAACATGGACCTGCTGTGCAATTTAGAAAGACACAGGGCAGGGGGGTGCTGCCTTTAGCCCCACCACAGTGGAAACAACATAACCCTGAGGCAACTGTCAATGATGGATCAAGACAATGTCTCCTACATGACAGCAAGAACAGATCTGAGTAACCTGTTGTCTATTGAAAACAAGAAGTTGGCAGAGGAATTGCACAAGCATTGCCCTTTTCCTAGAGTCATGGCTATGCAGAATGCTGAGAACTCCAACACCCCCAAACCTTCTGGTCCATTTAGTTTTGCTTGAGTGCTTCCTTAGCTTAAAACATGGAGTGGCAGGAGTTGAAAAGGAACACTTAAAACTGAAGCACTAAAATTACCAGAGCTGGCCATAGCACAGACCATTACTGTGCAAGCTCCTTCCCTCCCAACCACCATTCAAACGCTTCCTTCAATTAAAATCGTGACAAAATTTTCTAACCTCTGCCAAAAAAACCCCCTACCAACTCTAAGTTTTGACCTGCAGCTATGTAGCCCTATACAATTCTTTATAGATTTAGCCCTGGCCAGCTGCCCTCCTTCGCCCCCCCCTTCCGTTCCAGCCCTAGCCTTACTGTCCTCACAGCATTCATATTCCTGACTTACAGGACCCCTTGCCTCAACTGGCTCAAGCCTCGGACCCCTCCTGAACAACAGCTGCCAAAGGAGACAAGGTTCTGGATGGATATCCAGCAGAGATTAGATAAATCAATTTCATTACCACACTACCAAAACCATCCAGTGTCCTCAAAGCTAGGTTCTTAAACCAGGAATTACTCTTTGGCAAAAAGGTGGGAGCTAGAATACTGTCCTGTAATGAGGTCAGGTCTTATCTGAAAAAATCTGTATTGCAGAGCTTATTTACTCACTGGCATGTGTTTCTGCTCCCTGTGACTCCTCAGAAAAGGACCCAGCAGCTTGTGATAAGCCACAGGAAAAGCATCAGGAACTAGCCCACCTGACATAGGTGACATTTGCTGCTACACCACAGGGTCAGAATTGATGTTTTTCCCTGGATATGTAACTAAGATTGACTACGGGGAGAATGAGAGTACCTCTGCCTCAAAATGCAAACTAGTAACACGTTTGCCTCCGAATGCAAACTGCATTCATCCATCCCAAACCTGCTCATTCAGGAAAATGTCTGCTTGTCCTTCTTTAGGGAGGTCAGGAAAAGGACAACTGCTCAAACAATATGAGCAGATATGGGACTTGGAGCTCCTTCACCTAAAGAGTTTTACAAGCACAGAATATTTATGATATGGTCACTGAAAGGTGCCAAATCTCTTCTCAGCCTCTCCCTCTACTGATATCTCAGTCAAGGACATAAAAAACAATTTCCATTCAGAGATGACAGGCTGAGAATGATCTTCATCTTAGAAACAAAAAATAGACCCAAAGAGAAAAAAATAAAGAAGGAAGTGTGTGCATGTCACTAAAGAGATTCCCAGAAAGGGGTAAGAAGGGTGACTGAGCAGTAACAGAGAGGTTTCAACTCCCTGTAACCTACAGGGAAGCACAAAAACACAACCGGACTCCAAACCTCAAGGGCCTGGTAGGGATTTTCCACCTAGAAATGGACTGGAGATGAACAGATTATGATTTTTGCAAGAAAAGAATTCCAACTCTGAGACAAACCAAATTAGCCCAGGGCAACAGTGTTTATATACCACAGAGGCCAAGTCAGCTGGTTCCCTAATGCATGGTCTCACTGTGACAGGAATCACAGCGTCATGGCAAATTTATGAACTGAGTCAGACACAGAAATCTGGGAAGCTAGTTCAAGGCAATGTTCGAATCTCCAGGATCCCCTGCCTGCACTGAACTGTATTAGAAATCACAGGCAAAACACCTACCTTTCAGATCCTCATCTTCTGTCGTGGTGTTACAGCTCTCTGTGGAACCCTGCACGGCAGAACAGAGCATTACCAGGCATCAGCAGTCAGGAACACGAGCAAATAGTTTGATTTGTTTGTGAAGAAAGATGGGGAAAAGCGCAAAAACATTGGCAGGTATGGCAAGGGAGAGGAGGATATAAGGAAGATTTGGATGGAAGCAGGACAAATATTAAGCAAAACTTAACAGCATCTCTGCTCAGCTTTTATGTGCTCAAGCCATTCAAGCCGTCCACCCAGAACTTCTACAAGGACAGAAGTTACCAAATTCTGTCATATGTGATCAAATGGGAGTTGCTTCTGTTTGGAAGAAGAATAGCCGCAAGAAGCTAAAGAAGGGCTCCTAGGCTTTCTCAGAGGAACAGGTCTCCTCTTCCAGAAGGAAAAAAAAAAGTGCGTAAGTGCCTGTATGTTTCTTCTCTTCCACCCCACATATGAAAGAGAGTGGTGATTACACACCACAGTAGGAAAGAGATGATAATATTTGAACAGTTGTCCCTACTCAGCCTCTTCCAGAGATCCACAGCCATACAAAACACAACCCTCGCAGTCTACTGCCAGCAGTATTCAGGAGCATGCTACAAACCAGACATTGGAAAGGTAGAAACCGAAGTAAGACACATGAAGACAAGAACGACGAGAGAAGCAGAAGTTTCTCTGGCAACACTCCCATCCCTTACCTTTATGCCATCTGTAGCATTATGGACAACAGTTGTTTGAGGCTCCTAGGAAAGGATGGAAGAATCATTAAACTCCAGTTCCAAAGCATTCTCTCATTTCTTTTCACTCCCCAGCAAGTGAAGAAAAGGTGACTGACATAAAAAAAAAAATAATCAAACCACAAACTCCAAACAGCACGTGTGCTTGAGTGCGCACGCACACACTTCCTGCACAAAAGGTTTCCTGAAGAGAGAAGCTGCACTAAAAGCTACAGTCACAAGGAGACAAAGCCCCCAGCTTCACTGCATTTGCCCCTAATTCCCAATTTGCCTCCAGTGAACCAGGTTGGCACAAATGCCAGATGGCAACCAAGCAGCCAGTCTGCACCCTCTGCAGCCGTTCATGAAGTAATGATCCCTCAGCAGCATCCTCACTGGAAAACGTTTCAGAAGAGGGAGAGGATAATACTGGGCTGGGGCCTTTGCCTCCCAGTTTTTTGGGAAGTTTGCTGGGTATTTTAGCCTAAAAAAAGGGACATTCATAATTTCCATAATAGAAAGGTGATAAGCCAGACCACCTCAATGCCTCTCAGAGGAATTCTAATGGAACTGGGCTGTGAAAAAAGGCACATTTTTCTTAAAGTCTCTAAAATAAGATCCAATTCCAATAATAACAACAATAATTAATAATTTAGAAAGGCTCCCTTAGTATCAAAACTATCATGAACAAAGCCAGTGAAGGGAAAACAGAAAATTATGAAGTGTCCCAAGAACGCTTTGTCCTACAACAAACAACAAAAACATGAAGTCCCACCCTTCCACCCACCAAAAATTGCCAAATCCAACTCTCCAGAGACACACAACAAAGAGCAGCTACCAGGTTTACGGGTGCTAACTAGCTCCTGCACTCATCCTTTCATTACTGGGACAAGACTTCAGGATCCTGCACCATCTCCTCCCACTGCTATCACTCTTGCAGGGTGGTTCAGTGAGGGCACCAGGGACCATGACGGTACAGTGAGGTACACTCACCCATCTGCCTCTGTCACCCATTGCACTGCTGCCTGATCTTCCAAGCATACTGAGGCAGACCACACCGAGCTGTGCCGTTAAACATACTAGGCACAGGGCACCCTATGAAGCCTGCTGCACACAGCCCAAACAGAAAATGCCAGCCCAGCAAGTCAGCGAGCTGCAGAGAATCAACTGCCCAACTAAGCAGGCCAAATGGGCCATCAAGGGATTCCTCTAAAAACCCTTTGCCTGCCCTTTCTTCTGTGCTGTCCTGAAGTCCATCCTCCATTTCCTGAGCGCTGGAGAGTGGATGGAGCTTGCCATTCTCTTCTTCCAAACCAGCCTCCCCAAAGCCAGCAGGAACAGTTGAACCAGACACACAGAACTATACAGGGATGGCACACGGGGAAGACCCGCAAGCTGCAATCCCCACACCCAACCACAGCTCTGCTCAGCACCCCCACCCCAAAGCCTGTGAGGCTGTGATCAGGCCCCACAGCAGCACAGGGACATCAACAGAATGAAGCCAAAACACAAGCTGAAACAGAGCAGCACAAGCAGCACTCGGGATGGGGGGGAAGGAGAGAAGGGGAGAGGACAGAATCAAAATTAAACCAAACAGGAAAAAAAAATAGCGGTCGGGGAAGATACCATGGACGTCTGCACTGAGGGTGTTTCTTTTGCAGTGCTTACTATACTGGTTTTGTTGTTGCTCTGTGGCTGAGACAGAAAAACATGGTTTTAGTTCCTCTGCTGCGCAGCAGAGGCAGCAAGAAAACAACAATATTGCTTCAACCCCAACCATCTCCGCAGACCCTCCCCTCCCCACAGGCTCGATCACCAAGAAGAGGGAGGAAGGAGTGCTGCCCGGCTCGCTGGACATCATCCTTCCCTCAGAGGCAACAGATATTGTAAGGGATGTACCAAAACCCAAACGCCATGGACTGCTAGAGCTGTAAGGAAGGAAAACAGAAGGGAAAAAGGCAGCAGCCCAAAGGGATGGGGAGAATCCTGCAATGAGCACCAACAAAAGTATTTGGTGAAGAAGAATGAGAGGTGGCAGTAGTCCCGAGAAGAAGAGACTACAGAAGTGAGAGACATGCAATAGTCATGGTGCAGTCTCAAACAGGGGACAAATGGGAGTCGTGTCTGAGGAGTCCCAAAGTGTGCAGGAACAGTCCTAGATATGTGATGATGCTGAGGGTCTCAGGGAATCTACTGATGCAAGATAGAAGTGTGGTCAGCCCTAGAAAAGGTAGAGAAAGGTGAGGTATGGTGTGTTGTGTCCCTGCTGTGACCTGAACAAAGAGACTTCAGGACCAAAACATGGAAAGAGATGGGGGTGGGACACAAGGAAAAGGCCATGTAGTTCCCCAAGTAGCAAGTCCTCTGGATGGTGCCCAATAGTTTTTCATCATTCCCCTCTTCAGTCTCTCTTGTAGCTGTGGTAGAAGAATAAAATCTCCATTTCCTGCATTCACACAGCACAACAGTGAGGCAGTCACCAGCTTGCTGCAAAGGAATGTCCCATTGGGTCATGTACGTTGGTTATGTCAGGAACGAGCAGTCTATGTTTGTATGAAGCCAAACCTGTGTCCACTAGTATATAGCTCCTAGCCCACAAATCCAGTCAGTTGTTGGAGAATTAGGCCCACAGTTACACTGCCATGTAACCCCCACACCAGGTACATAGCTCTCTTCCTGCCAGGCACTATCAACAATGTCAAAATCAGCACTGCAGGAGCCTCACTCAAACTCCTTGGTTTACAGGTCAGGGGTACTAGGTGGAAGCTCACAGCAGTGTGACCTCATCGCAGCTGCTCTCCATCCCACCATTCTTGGGGAGTGCAAACTCATACTGCAAAACATCAGGCCCTCATCACCCTGTAACCACCACAAAGAATGCAAAAGTCAAATGCTGAGCTGGAAAACATCTGCCAAAGGTTTAATTATGTCAACCAGAGAAAGATCCTATGAGGTTGAGACGTCACACACACCTACTAATACTTCAGTTTTTCTTCACAAGCAGCATGCCTTGGCTTAGCTATCCCTTTTGGAGAAGGAGAGAGAAGAAACAGAGGAAGATGGGGCAGGTGGAGAAGGGAGGCAGTACAAGAGACAGGCAGGAATGAATTCTTTAGAAGTCCATGGGAGAAAAAAGAACATATGACGCACACTCATCCCCAAAGCTAAGAAAGGAGAAACACTTTACAGATTACTGTTTACTGTCTCTTCCTATACATCCCCACATTGTCCTAAGACTTTGGCCTTCCAAGAGCTTTGCTTCCTGCATGTATTTCCAGCCTGATGGCAGAAGAGACGACAGGCCACTGTGCATGTAAGAGAGGAGCAGATCAACTTGAAAAAATGAATCCCCAAGCTATTTTGTGGCATAAGTACAATCAATCTTCTGTCAATGCCTGGGTCCACCCCTCCACACAGCACTGAGGTTCCCGTACGTCTTCAGAAACAGTGATCCTAATGCAGAGATCTATCTTCCAAACCTCTTCTGTGGGAAAAGCACAGCCTGTTTTTCTTAGTCCATTGGGATAAGAAGATAAAGTTAGCATGAAAGAAGCTATATAAAAATAACTCTGATTTTCTGAAGGCTTTATAACTGAAGCCAAATGGGAAAAAAACCCAAACCATCCAGGAAGCCACTGTTCTGAAAAAAAGTTGACAGCACCCTGTTAGGTGTTAGACGTCACCTTACAAAGTGCAAACCCACACACACCCAAAGCACACAGCCTACCCTCCAGGCTGCACTGAACACCCAGTTCATACTCTTACCCATCATACTCTTACCCAGCCAGTGGGCTGAAGAAGACCAAGTATCATGTTTGCTAGTACAGAATCACATAGCATTTTACTCCAGGACAGAGTCCCAAGGAAGTAAGAGGCAGAAGACTTAGCCTAAGTGTTTTGCACAGGTCTTTCTCAGATGGAGGTATCTGACATACGGAGCTTCCTGCACACACTTGTGTCTTCTGCCCCCTAACCAACTGCCCTTCCCTGGAAAAGACTGGCCTGCCCTTCCCAGAGCCCCAGGCAGCACAGCCAGCTCTTACCTACCCCTCCCCTTCCCCTCCTACTGCCAGCCAACATCACAGTCACTGGGCAGGCTACAACCCTTGGTAATTCACAGCGGTACAGCTCAAGTTGAAAGAGGCCAATTCACCTAAAAAGGTGACAGGCCCTTCTTAAAAATCTATGTAACATGATTAGTTTTGGCACAGCAGTTGGCAGTGCTTCCTGAGCTAGACAAGAGACAGACAGACAGGCACAAACAACATAGAGGGTGCAAGAGAAAAAACAGACCAGTGATCATATCGCTAGGGACACACATTTCTAGCCAACTAAAAGAAAATAAGTACCAACACATGGGCCATCTCTGGTTATTTAGCCACCTTCACTGCTTCCATGTTTTCTGAGGCTGACACAGAGTTTACATATCCCAGCTGCTTTAAAACAACACGCAGAGCGAATTTAAGTATTGCTGGCCGTGGGCAGAGAAGGGCAAGAAAGGCCCAACGAACTCCTGCCCTGGAGTTTCGTAAAGGCAGGGCTGGTGAAAAGTCAGTCCCTCACATCAGATTTTCCAAGCAGTACTTTGGGATTACTTTTTTGTGTTTACATAGTTTTAAGCTGTCATTGAAGGAGGAAGAGGAGAAATATCTTCCAGATAGTAATGTAGAAACAAATTATTCTGCTTTCTCAGTACTATAACATTCCTGTTCCTACCTGCAATAGGGGAGAAATATTTTCTGTTCTTTTTCTGTATAAAGGAGATAATGCAATAACTAATTTTTGTACTTTCGTTTCTGTTCATCTGTCAGTGTCAGAGACAAAGGCATCATCTAATGGGCTGTGTATGCCTCCTTACAATACGGCACTGGACAATTTTCTCTTTGCTCCCTTGAGAGTGGATTTGACTAGTTTTCTGACAAATTCTGTGGAAGTCAAACATCTGGATGGATGAAAAAAGGAAATGAACAGGACAGGGGAGGCAGTTACTAGGTATTTGGTCATGCTGGGATACATAAACAAGATCAGGACAAAAGGAAGTTTTGGATTATAAAGGCTTTGACAAACCTTTTCAGTAAGTATGCTAAAAAAAGAAGTGACTGGCAGCTCTGAGCTGCCTAGCGGTGCTGTGCCCACACATTTCATCTGAACAGTGGAGCCCCATCAGTCTCTGCCACATTTGGAGCGACTCCCAGTTTGTTCTACACTGCAGGGCTCCCACCAAGGATGATGGCACCAACACCAGGCAAAGCACCTGCTCCTCTTTTTGGCACCTCTGCAACAGAATGACAAAGCCCCATGTCCAGGCAAGACACGCACCTGCTCTGCTGAGCCCAGGAGAACCACTGCCTTTTTTCATTTCACACTCAGAGCAGGGAAGGTCAAACTGCATTGCCAGCAGTTGATTTTCTGCACAAAGTGGGAACAGTACAACTGGCCGGGGGCCAGACGATCACAGGGCCCTTTTAGTGAGGACATGGACCTTTCAGTGCACAATGATCCCCACCACCACCACCCTGCCCCTGCACAGACATGCTATGTAGGGTGATGAGCACAAGCCGAGCGTGCATGGCATGAGAATGGCGGACACATGAATCGCAGGCAGCTTACGGGAGGTGCTCACCATCAAATGCACACTGGAGCTTGACTTCCTTTTCTGGACACACCATTGAGAGAGGGAAAGAGAAGGGAAGAGAGGAGATCAGAAGAAAAGCACAGAAACTATTCACACATTAGTGTGCCAGCAAGGGCCCCCCTGCCAATAATGCTCCCCTAGGACAGGTATAAGCAGCAGCAGAAATGCACAGACACATGAGAAGGTGCAGAGAGAAGTAACCATTAAAGAACATGACTACACACCAGGGGAAAGGGCAGGGTTGAAGACCCCCATCCACTCAAACATCGAGGTCAGAACATAGGTGCCCCACACGCTGATATGAAAGGAGAAGAGAGAGGAATATATATTCACAAGATGTGGGATGCAAGGGGGTGCCTCTGTGTGCTCTCCCACCTCCGAACACTGTGCAGCTTCCCCAGCCACACTGAAGAGGTAGGCAGAACCCCCCCGCCATGTGTTCCCATTTGGAGGAAACAGAGGTGTGTTTGCAACTAGAATCAGAGGGTAGGGAGGAGGAGCATCCCCAAGGGCTAAAGAAAGAAGGAACTTCTGTGCATAGCATGGGGAGGAAAAAGGCTCCCTCACACAGAAACTGGGGCTGATTGGAGAGGCAAGGTGCACCCATGCTCAGACATAGAGGAAAGGCAAGAAAGACAAAGAGGCACTCAAAAGCCAGAACACCTTGCACTCTCAGATACTTGGAGGAGAAGAAACAGGGAGCAATGCTCAAACACTACCCAACCTTCTTGGACTCTACTCTCATTCAAAGGCATCTGCAGTCATCTTCAAAGACACCTTCACACCAAACTGCACTCTCCAGTAAACCCGGTTCAACATGCATTTCTCTGCTTTTTCACTACACTCTTAGTGTCATCCTGTCCAAGCTGAGCCTGGCAGGTCTTTCAGCATTACAATGCTACCTCTTTACTCTGCTGTCTCCACATACATTTTCCATCTGCCCTTCTCCTTTGGTACTATCTAGGCTATTTCTCTGCTGCTTACTACAGAGTCTAGCTCACAGAGTAGTGTAGGACAGCACATCCCAGCCAAAAACCAGAATGGCTTGGGCTCAGCTGCA